CCTACTTTGCCCTGCAGCATCCTACGGGTACATGTCCGTGCTAGAGATGCTTCTCATCTGCGACGCAGACACCGAATTCGAAGGCTATCCCGAGGACATCGCTCTTCTTGCAGCTTGCGCTAGTAGCAAGCTCGAGGCCATGTGTTTCCTTCGTAGCAGAGCGAAACTCACGTATTCTCGGAACGTGGTAGGTTAATGGCGTTGCGCCGTGGCCACTGCTGATGCACCCAGACATACCGGATTGGATCTTGGTACGAAGGTTGTGCAATCAGCCTTGGACTGCGTATCCAAACTTTTGGGATCCCCGACAGCAACGATCGTGGAGCGGTGTCCGGGTGGCTAAGTTGAGTTCTCGGCAAAATACCGACGGCAGCGAGTAGATTCTCTCCTTGGGTATCTTCGCCGTCGAAAAGTGCTCAAGGACACACGCAGGGGAGAAACGCTGCCAAATGGCATAATACGCGGCAGTGAGACCTTCAAACATTACACACGCTAAGAGTGCCGTAGCAGGAATAATAAGTCCTATCAATCTTTGAATAGAAAACCCGGCCCCTGAGCTACGTTCTCAAACTCGAATACCTCTTGATTTGTCGGAAGAGATAATTTATCTTTGATCCTCGATTAGCTGCGATGTGGGCCTCGAGGATTCCCTGTATCTCGGAGACTCTTTGCATCTCGGAGACTCTCTGCATCTCGTAGATGCCCCTGATCTTTGACGTCGGCTTCGAGCGGATGCGTAACGCTTCAAGTGTATCCTCCACCTCGCCTAAGGGTAGGAAAGGCAAGAGGAACCGCACAAGGCTGAGTCGTGTCGAAAATCCGCAAGGCTGCCGTGTGAGTCCGCAGTCGAAGGGGTTGTCGGGTAGTCCGCCGTACACAGCACTCGTCAATACAGAAACCGTCGGTGGCTTTGTTCGCGCGATGCTGATGTCCTGGGGAAGCTTCGTCTTGAGGTATTGGGGTATCGGAATCTGCGCCATGAGACCGACGAAGTTAACTTGATCCCATTCCCGAACTTGAGACTCCGTAAGCGTCATTCCGTCCTGGCGCAGCCTGTTACACCAGTGGAGGGTTGCGCCATCAACGTTGTCGTCAGGCGTAGCCGGCTTAAGAGTGCTATTAAAATCCCAGAGAAGGCAAGCTCTCCCCTGTTCGTTCACCCGATATAATGAGAGACCAGCAACTTGTGCGTCGAGCCTGTCTAAGATCTGGACAAGCTTGGCGTCATTAGCCGGAGTGCTAGGAACATCGTTTGCCACCGCAAGCAGCCTTGTCAAGTATTTCCAGAAACCTAGAGTTTGGATAGGCAGGCTGAGTGTCTCGCCTTTGAGTAACCAGAGGATGGCGTCGAAGTCTGGTCTTATACTGGAACTGATGTTACTCCAGTTGCTCTGAACCCACTGGAATATTATGGGTTAGTGTATGCTGTAAGAACGGGCATCATGATTACTGTGAAACCCTTATAACATGTTTTGAAATGGTATTCCTGGCCTCATCCTCGGCCCATATTCTTGTTTGTGATCGGAAAATTGGTCTTGAAGGGATGGGTGCTATACTTAATGAGTACTTACCTCTCTCACAGTCCGGTGCATATAATCGACTCCACCAGCACTATAGCCTTGCCGTGGATTGATCTCTAATAATCCCCTCGTTCTGCTATTCAACCTTCTCCTTAGAGACAAAGCGGCAGAATTCAGGAATGAAATGCGAGTCATAGGCGGCTGAAAATCAAGGGAAATATCGTCATCTCCCAAGCAGATGCTGGTCGTGTGCGTATCGAATCCGCGCGAGCTATAGGCCTCAAGGACAGCGAAATACTCAGCTGCCTCTCCATAGTATTGAGAATTGGTCCGTTCCCACATGGATTGAAACAAGGTAGACAAGTCACTTGGCAATCTTTCAACAGTTTCCTGAAGATTCGACAGCTTGTCCCCCTCCTGGAGGCTAATAATAAGATCTCGGACTACGACCGAGACCCACAGGAAAACCCCTTGCGCCTTTTCGATGATGTCATGGAGTAACTTCTCAGTCTCTCGTGGTTGAAGCTCGCATCGCTCTTGAAATCCCGGACTCTCTCGAAATTGACCATGGACGTATGTCTGCATGTCGTGCCAGGTTAAATTCTCAAGCTGAAGCATTGGATTAAGGTGGAAAGCATCCCTGAACATGTTCCACGGACGGCTACTGACGCATATCTTGACATCAGGATATGTGCTCGCTTCCCGGAGGAGCTCAATCAGGGGCATAATGTCGGTTTCTTCGAACTCGTCAAGTCCGTCTATTACTATTGCGAGTTTGAATGGGGGTTCTCCATCGGATAGGTGCTGACCTGCTTTAGACAGCAAAGCCCGAAAGCCTTTCGCGAGTTCCTCCATACTCCACTCTGTCGAGGCTAAGCTCTTGTCAAATAGTTGAAGCAAAGCCCAGCGGCTCGGAAATACCGCCGGAGCAAGTAGTTCAGGGCATCTGGCAAGACACTGAGAGAGTAGAGTTCTGAGTAGCCCTCGATGTGACTTCTGAAGGCCACTCCCCGCGTTCCACGAGAAGTACGTGGCCAGGAACAGATTCGAAGATGGACCTGCCCACTCATGTAGGAGAGATTCCAGCCTCTTATCCTTGATCATAAATTTGACCAGCGTAGACTTCCCTGCACCAGGCTTGCCAGCGATCCAATAAACCTGATTCGATGGTTTAGATAGCCACTTCGAGAAGTCTGACCAGAGTTGAGTTCCGTCGTCCGCTGAGCGTGGGGCCTGAAATATCCATTCATAAGTGCTCTCATACGCCTTTGAGATCCCGTCTTCCCTATCAATTATTGTCTCGAATCGGAGGGTCTCTATGATCATGTTGGCGAGTCTCTTGTTGCGATCCCGCTTTAACATGAAGTCAGTCGGTTGCTGCTGAGCCGAAGTTCCCATTTGCTCGTTAGGCTGCCAGCCCGACTTAATGACGTATTCCACCATCGTCTGGGTTTGCAGTTGACTCTCTGCAGTCTGGCCCTGAAGAAGATTCGCGACTCTGTCGCCAAATTCTCTGGTTGTCTCGTCGATCGTATGGAGCACACTCAAAGATAAAGCCTGCTGTTTTGCGAATTCGGTCATGGTAGTTCGATTCTTCTCGGCCTGGCGCCTAAGTCAACGAGATTTAGCGATATGTCGCATCGCATGCTGATAGGGAACTCATACCATGTGAGTACTAGCATTGCCATCATGATTTGTTTCTGAGTCTGATCCAGGCGCTCCTTGAGATCTCGAATCTTCTCTTCTGACCATATACTCTTAAGCGCAGTAACCAGACTATTCGCTACCAGCCCTAGTGTCGAGTTTCCATGAGCCTGGAGCTTAGCTAGGGAGTCTTGCAGCTCACACCCAAGCTCGTTCGCTTGGCGACAGAGCCTGATGAGCAAATCCTCCGTATCCTCCCCGAATTTGCCGGCGCCATGATTGTGTTGTCGCGAGGTGGTCTTTTCGTGTCTAAGCTCTTGAAGTTTAGATTCAATGCTATCCGTAAGCGTCCTGACGTCTCCCGCTACCATGGACAACTCGATGTTGTTTTGTTTCTGACCGAATGAAGATTGGTAGGTCTCTCGAGTGTCCATGATAAGCCGAGTTCCGAAATCAAGCAACTGGATGGCCGCCGCGGCGACGGACAAGGCACTGAGGGGATCCATTCCTATAGTTCAGAGCATAGCAGGAACAAACCGCGATTTCTCTGAGAGACACTGCTTGATTAAAAATGAGGATCATGTCAGGCTTCCATGGGCGAGGCTTCGCGAGTCACGGGATCTGCAAGTCTCCCCAATGATATGGTCGTAACATGGTCCAGCGGCTAATGCGCCATGCTTCCAATAGTAAGGTCTCATTGGTGCGATGTTCACTGAGCCCCTAGGACCTGAGCGAGCGACAATCCGGCAATCTAAGATTGGCGATATCGTTCAATATCCTACGAACAGAGCCATGATCCACGTAGCAACCCAACTCAACATCAGCAAGTCGAGTACACCAAGAAGGCTGTGCGTTCTCCTCTGAGCTTCCTCATAGTCGCCCATTTTCGGCAGAGCCCCCTTTAATCCAGGCGCCTTTCCAGCCCAGAAGTCCTGCATGTGTTCCTTAGCGAAGAAGAGAGCGACGACCATCACGACCGGAATTAGGTAGCGCGGTAAGACACCATAGATACTACCCCGGCTAGCGAGCAGCAGAGACGCGAAGAAGGAGAGCAGAAGCGCTACCACACCGGAGGTCTGTGTGCTGTACGTTTTCTGCCGCTGATGTTCGGCTTCGCTAGAGACCTTGGCGAGTTTCTTGGTTGTGTTTTCGTACTTGCGCAGGTTCGTGATGGCGACATAAGAGTGCTTGCCGCCGTACGCTGCCAGAGCGGCTTGGGCGAGGTGAATTAATTGTAGAATCATTTCTAGTCAAATGTGATCAATTATCGACAACTCTTAGCACAGGTTATTATCGGATTCTGATTGATTCAAAGGTGTGTTCTATTGATTGATTGGGAATACTTCGTATTGTGATGTAATTTCTCATGTTGTAAGAGATTACGTGATATCCAGCCAGTTATGTAATCCACCAACTGTCTTATCATAGAATGCATCTGTAGCCAGCTGCAGTCCCCTAAGCACACTTGGGTACCGCTCTATACCTTGATAATGTTGCTGTCATCTGGTATTCTATGCCAATAACCCCTACACTATATCAGCTCTCTCACCAGCTAGGCTTGACCTAAGTAACTGAAAAATAACCGAATTACTCCTCGAACTTGTCGAGGAGACCAACCTGTTAGACAAGCATGGCCAACCAAAGATTTAGCCGTACCTTAGCCGCGTCCTCCTTGACCGTCCACTCACATCCAAGTTTGACGGATCCTTGGCAAAGGCGCGAAAGTGTGCCTTATTAGTACAAACAATAACACCTCGATCAGAAGCGGGATACCTCCGATCCTATTCCAACGACGCAATTGGCTAGAGACCTGTCTGAGTCAATTTGCAATGAATCTCCTCCGTGGCGCAATTGGCTAGCGCGTCTGACTGTTACGATGATCTTTGATCCATCGCAGCACATCAGGAGGTTGACAGTTCAAGCCTGTCCGGGGGAGTATCATACTCGTAGAGCACATGCATGCATAGTGTGCTTGGTTTTTTGGTAACTTCAATTTTGCTCTTGAAGTTGATACCTGAATCATCCTATTGCTCACGTAGCCAGTTACATTGAGGGGGAATTCCACGACTTGTGCGCCATTTTCTCCAAGAGGAAGGGGAGAAGGTGGGCATTCATCGACCCCGGGTGAACGTACGGCTTATGTCTGTAGCAAATACTACTACGAACAAATCAAGGAGCAACTCGTTAATATCAGCACTATTAACGCATCCAGCGGTGAGTCTGTCATTGAGTGATCTCCGACCGTTTACCAAATCACTGTCCAGCCCTATTATGGCTGTGCAATTGTCTCCATCTCACAAATTGTGGCGTTAGCTTAGAAACCTTTTTGCCGAAGCTCCAACATTTGTTCAGTCTCTCTGCAGCAAACAAACCGCTAAAATAACCTACAACTCGTCACGATGTCAACGCCTACACGGGCGGCTAGAGTCATTTCGACTGAGCTCCTTGTATGTTCTTAAGTCGCCCTAGCAGAACAGGATTGCTAAGGGCTTTCCCAGGAAAACAAGGATGCGAAATGGATCAACCTCGTGAAGTTAGTCGTAGCTCGCATTTCACGCGAATCGGCGATAGCTAGCACGTCTTCATATGTCTAACTATGGCATGATATAGAATCACATATGAGGACCAAAACGGCCATGTGCGCACCTGGGAGGCTATGAACCGCCCCGGGCGATCCACAGCCAGCGCTGTTCATGCGGTGCAGATGGTAGCAGTGCTTCAGAAATCCACCGGTCCGGAGCTCCTCCTCGAGAAGCAGTTTCGTGCACCGGCAGGGAAGATCGTAATTGAATTTCCAGCTGGCCTTGTGGACGAGGGCGAAACTGCTGAACAGGCAGCCCTACGCGAATTGAGAGAGGAGACAGGCTACATCGGTGAGATAATGCCTGATCGCGGAGGCACGCGACCGATGCTTTTTAGTTGTAAGTCTTGTCAACAGACCGATTCAAGGGGAGTAGCTTGCTAATTGTTTAACCAGCTCCTGCTTCCTCGAGGTAAATTCTGCTATTAGTGCAAACCCGAATACTTGGCTAATAGTTCATCTAGCTCAAGCACTTTTCTCATCCATCTCAAAATTGACCCTGACAGAGAAGAGAACCGCAATCCGAAGCCGCAACTAGAAGATGGCGAGTTCATCGAGTGTTTCTGGGTGCCATTGAAAAATCTCTACGATGAATGCAGAAAGCTAGAAGCCCAGGGGTTCGCAATTGACGGCAAGGTGGGCGTGTTTGCAGAGGGTCTCGAGATGTCCAGAATTTGGGCGGCTTGATCTAGCCCTAACAGCGCATAATAATACCTTCCATCATGATAGGAAGAAAGCACATAGAACGAGCATAAAGTATTCTCAATCCTAGAGAGAATTAATAGTTAAATCAGATCAGCGACTAGGTAGACTTAGATATAAACCCGTGATGATTATAGTATGTAATATACATTAGCAACAATAGGGCGTGTGGTCCTTATTAATCGCTGAAAAAAAAATTTGCTCCTAGTTAAACACCTGTTTGGGCGCTGTGAAAACAGAAAAAATATGACCACCCTGGGGCTCGAACCCAGAATCTCCTGATAAACTATCGAACGTGTTTGCATGCTCGGTCGTAGTCAGACGCCTTACCATTGGGCCAAGCGGCCTGCTATTCAGTGCACCTCGGAAGTATCCGAGTGATTGAATGTGAAAATCGCCGGCTTTTGATGCACTATAAAGAAAAAGCAAAAGCCTGAAGGGTTTCCTATTTGTCGGGATCAACACTAGCAGACTTAGCTTGGCCGCGGAGACTCCGTGTAGGGAATGATTTACACTGTCAGTATCCCATCCCCAGGAGAGCTATTATACGTAAATTCTGGTCACGTGGATGTGATAAATAGATTCCCAGAGAATCGAAGCATTGGATAGAATATTCTATAGCCATGAAGTGAATATAAACTATTATTGTCTCGGGAGTTTGATATCTGGTGACCCCTTTGTTAGGGTGCTGGTGAGATTTCCACACGGACAGAGCTAACATTCTTTCAGGGGTTGACCTTGCGCTAATCAATTCGCGGCCAACACTCACAGCGCACTTTCGCACTCACTATTCACAACCACATACGGGCAGGTACATAGTAGATCCCCTATCGAGAAGCTGTTATTCTAGTAATTTTTCCCTGCGGTGGATTACCATCTTCAGGGCTTACATTATACATTAATATCAGCCTACGCATACTTCCCCTGTCAATGCACTGGGCAACATGGACAACATTTCTGGTGTTCAGGTACTAATAGAATAGTGAGTACCTACATCCCATCCCACGTTCCTTCGGATAGTCTCTATGTTCCAACCAGAAATAGAGGCTCTGCCACTTGAAAGGAGATAAGTGTGGTTAAATTCTAAAAGCTTCTCGGCTTGAATCTTGCTCAGTCCCGTGAGAACATACCAATCTATGTTGAATGAGTTATCTGTCGGGAAATTCAGATGCCGTTATTTGGGACAGGATATGACCCCATGAACCTGGCGTCCCCAGCCGCTGTAGCTCACGACAGAGCGCCTCGCGCATCCCCTGATGCGCGAGCTCATGGTCTTCAGATCAGCCAACAACGTCTGGCGAAGTTCGATATGAGCAACGATTCTGCTTCCCAAGGATGGACAGCGAAACACTTCGGATCTGATTATTCGAACTAATTGAGACTCGACTGCCGCTTCAACCGATAGATCTCGGACGAGCACATGGAGAGCCCCGACTCCGTCGCCGTAAGAGTCCAAAGCTCTTCGAGAAGGACTGCGACGGCCATCTCCATCCCTGTCCTACTAGCAAAGTGACAAATGCCAAACGCATCTTTATCAAGGTCTCGACTACAAGCTTATCAATTTATCAATTTATCAATTTCGATTGAAGCTTTAGCGAAGACGCTCACTATGAGTAGTCGAAGAATGGGAATAGATCCTTCTTTTCGCAGGTCCATGATCTCGGACGAATCGAAGCCCGTGAGGTTATGCGCGCATTCTTGAAGGATGACATCTCCGCGCTCAGCTTGACTCCTCAGAGTCTCCATCATGCCCCGAACGTCGAAGGACTTGGTTGCCGCGTGATAGTATGGCTATCTCTTGCGAGTGATCTCCTAGTCTGCGCACTCCCATATCAGCTCGTGATTCATCCAACTCGGATCCAACTGTCAGACCGTCCTCAGATTGGTAAAGCGAGCTAAAAGTACCGCCTCGACATACCAAGCTCCAGTACCAGAGACAGTCCGAATAGTTGTTATTTTATTACGTACCTAGGTAGACTTCCTTCCAGTACCTCCCCGAATATGAGCTCGCGCGCGCAATTGTTGAAAGATGGAAGTCCCCTTTGAAGGAGTTAGTCATGGTTTTCTGGAAGTGTCGCGTACGCCTTCGGTTGATGTTTAGCGCTAATGCTAGGGATCCCCAGGAGGAGAGATAATCTTCTCTTTTACCAAAGGTTATGTCCGTGACCTTCCACTGTCGACTTGATAGACACCGGGACGCAAGTTGATTTTGTCCGGATCTCGATCCGCCGCATACTACCTAAGGTACCCGTCACCCGTATAGCTTCATCGTAAAGATTTAGCGGCACAAATGAAAAGATTGAGTCTGGTGCCAGGCGATCCATCCTTTTCTACCGCAGAGGAATTGATATCCAGGAACACAGTGAATCGAGCTGGCATAATGCTACCGCGAACCAGTGGCACAAAAGATCAAATGCATGGCGAGAAACTATTTCGAAGCTGTCCTCAGTCCGGAAACGCCGCGAGCTGTACGGTTCGCGTCTGTAACAAGATCACCGTTCTTGTGAGATTCGTCGAGAATCCCCGGGCCGAAACGACCGGCTCGGGGAGACGCCCGCAGCGCTTCAGGCGCCATCCATAGATGCCAGCGGCGGGCTGGGCCTTGCACAGTCTCCTTCCTCGGCCGTCGAAGCAGAGCGGGAATCGGGCAGCCAGGAACAAGGTGTCGAGAACGAGGGTCGCCTTCCACAGGTCCCACCTTTCAGCAACCTATTCTACAACGGTCTATAAACACCAGATTCACATTACCCTCGCGAGCTATCTCACTATTCCACCGGCAATACGAAGAACCGGACATCTAGAGAACGTGTGCATCATTGTAAGGGCCTTAAGCTGCGGGACATCACCTTATCGGTCGAGCTCAAACTAGATCGCTCTCGACATCCCGTCTACAGTTCACGACCAATCACCTCAGTACGTTTACACTTCAACCAGGTAATATTGACCTACAATGAGGAACCAGACTAAGGTGTCAAAATAACTTACAGCATAAATAGTCCATCATCCTCACTACCCGGTCAGTTCTACTTGCGTTTTCAACAAGTATGTTCTCACCCAGTCAAAGGCTAATCAGCCACGGCTTAGCCCACCATCTCCAACCGTGACCGCCCTGAGCAAGACATGCGTTTTATGCCGCGAGAGCATCGACGGACCTCCCCGGCCAACTCTTGTCGGATGGCTCCCTCAGTTACTTGGACGCAAATTACGCGTTTTCGTGGACTGTGGTCCTCACCATCTCAAACGCTCTCAGGCCGAACGAGACAGATAAGGATACTATGTCGATGTTACGCACGTGACTTCGATCCATAGAAAACGAGAGAAATCTACATGTTAGCGAGTTTTGCAAGAGGCTCGAGTCTTTAAGCGACGGCGACAAGCTAAACGCAGCGTGCGATGGCTATTCCTAGTCCCCTTACAGGTTACCCAACATCTTCGGGTCTGTTCGCCGCGAGCACCTGGCGATAATAATAATCATGCCGATCCACGGGAAGCGATTCGGCAACATAGCCCTCCAAACGACAACGTATTAATTCTCGACGACCATGCCACTTCCTAACCTACATACTAATGCTGCCACGCCGTCCGATGTCCCTATAGATTATCCTTTTATCCTTGAGAGCTTCCTCTGTAACCCTAATACTAATTGGAGCCCC